TGTGTGTGTGTGTGTGTGTATGTATGTACGTGTGTATGTGGAAGGTAAGAAATAGCGGAAGAAGTTAGAAGAAGTAAAACAAACAGGTGCTGTCTTATGATAGACAACATTAAACAAAATGTCATTCCTCGCATTCCCATGTATTATTATCCATCCATTTTAACAAACTAGTTTTTGCAGGGTTTGTTAAAAGTTTTGGATGAAATGAGGAGATGAAATTTGCACGTCGGTTTAATTTTTGCAACTGCTAGAAATGATAGGAGGAGGAGAGCGAAAAAACTCTCATACCTTTATAATACAACAAATCAAAAAATGAATTACATTTTCATTTCATGTTAGTTTGGGAAAATCAAAATTATAAAAATAAAAAATAAAACGGATAAATTTCATTGTGAATGAAGAGGTGGAAAGAAAAAAGGAAAAAAAAGGCAAGAAAAAAAAAGATGAGTTTAAAAGTTAGCTTTTAAAGAATTGGGAAAGATGAAATACAAAAATTTTGTTTCACACAATTAAATATCTGCTGCTCCTATAAAATTTAAATGTTAGCTATGTATAAACAGGCAATGTTAAAATTTTTTTATTACAATTAACGAACTTTTTTTTAAGCGATTAGCGCTATTTCAATTTTGCATCAAATGATTATCAGTTATCAATTTTATTTAGTTCATTAGCAATGTTTCAATTTTAAGCTGAACAATTATTTAGTAATTAGTACTGCTCAATTTTCATATTAAACAATTTTTTGTTCAAATTTGTTTGATAATTAGTATTATTTAAAATTTCACATTGAAAAATCTTTTTTTAATGATGAAATCTAATAGAATTTGATAATTTGCTACAACTATTCTCTACTTAATACTTCCGGTTTTATTTTTTATTTTGAAAGTTTTATTAAAGATTTAGTAAATTTGGATCAGTATTAAATTAAAAGTATAGGAACGTTCTTAAAAGATAATCAAAAATCATGAAATTCCATTTTTCGATTAATTTTTTCTATACGAATTATCATTTTAATACAAATATATCTCTCAAATTTAAATCATTTATTTACTGTGCTGTAAGGATTATAAATTTTTATTAAAGAACTAGTGAAATTTATAAAATATTTGAAATTAAATAGTAGAAAAGCTTTCTTTTCTCTACATATATGTATGCATTTTTCCTTTTTTTTGAAAGAATTCACTTTATTTCGAAGATAATTTTAGTTTTACAGTCTAAAAATTTTTATTTAGAAAATTTTTTTTGTCAAACGTAATTACAGTGCAATACAGCGAATTACAAACTAATTGAGAATGTTACAATCTTCGAAAATCAAAATTACATTGTTTATAATCAATCAAAAAAAATGTTTATTTTACAAAAATGTGTAAAAAATTTATAGCTTATGAAAACAAAATTATTTGAAATTTTTAAATTTAAAATTTATAATTCAGTCATTTCAAAAGAATTTTCCATAATTTTGCAGTGATAACAGAATGTTGATGATTAAAGCCAAAAATGTAACTACTTTTTTTCTGACATCCGTTTTATCTAATACCGTGATATATGCGACATGCTACTATTAATAATATTAATTAACATGATAAGCTTAATTAATGTTTCAAGAAATAAATGCAAAAAAAAAGAAGGAAATTTGAATGAACTCTGTTAGTTATTACAATTGTCATGCTGACATCAATAACATTGCTGAATTTTCAAAATAATTTACACAGTTTAGTAATTTATTAAAAATCTGTTTTAAATATTTCAAAAATTGAGTGGATTTACATCACTGCAGTGATTTGTAGTAATTTACTGAATCTCAAAAATCTAATTCTTTTAAATCCCTGAATATCAAATTTGAAAATTTAAAATAAAATTGATGCCATTGTAGCCTATGGTTGTAACTATTGAATTATCATATCTTCTCAGTACAAATGTATTTTATTTGACGGATAATGTTAAATAACTGAATTAGAATAAATTTGCAACAGAAAATTGCGTCGCTACATTTTCATTTAGTATTATCATAATCATTATTATTATTGTTATTATCATTATTATAGAATGAATTCAGCATTTTCATTAAACTTAATGAGAATTTCTTTAATAAGCAACAAATATTCAATTATTACTACATTATTTTGCTGTATTTGACTGAATCATTTTGCTGAACCTTTCTTCTGCTTTTTCTTCTTTTTGTTTTCTGATTAATTGATTGCCGTAATCGTGAGTGTTGTTGCCACCATTTTTGAATAATTAATGCAGCCAAATTTCGTAACTGATACGGAAACAATCCACCATTGCGTAATAAATAGTTAGCAATCTAATAGAAAAAAAAGAGAATTCAAATTTAAAAAAAAAAAAAAAAAA